GGGGTCTCTATTAGCTTTCCTCTATCTATTGAATCTCACTTCTTATAGAAAGTGGCTTATACAGCCTTACTACTTTTATAGTGCTTATTAGTACAGAAAAGGAGACTAATGAACCAAAGAATCACCTTCTTAACCCATTTGATATGGATGATAAGATATAAAAGTATGGGCTAAATTCATTTCTGACTCTTGTGAATTATGTGCTAGTAATCATGGGGAGTTATGGTATTTGGAACACTCTCATTTACTCGAATGCAAGATGACTTGGAATTTAAGCTAACACCCCAGTAATTAGATTCTGTAATTTTTCATGTTTAAAGTCTAATGATTGGGGATCATCTTAAATTCATCCCCTCCACTGCTGTAGTAGGACAAGCAATGGTGGGAAGGAAGGTGGTGGGGGGGCAAGCAGTAAGAGGGCAGGTGATAGGAGGCAGAGATAGGGGAATCGAGTGGCCTGACCCTTGCCATCTATCTCCATCACCACACTTCCCCCTCCCTCCCCCCCACCCCGCCGCTTCCTGCACTGTCTCATGCCTACCCCTTCCCTCAATCCTTCATGAGTCGGGGCCAGAACTAGAGGGTAAGAAGTGGCATCAGGTGCTTGTGGGGCAGAGGCATCAGTAGGGGAGGGGAGATGTGACTCCAACCCCAACCCTACACTGGGGCTGCAGTCAGAACTGCAGCAGCTGCCTGCTTCCCATCTCCCTGCTTGTATCTGCCACAAGGCAAGGAGCCTTTTTTCCCTATGTTAAATGGGGAAAAATACTTGTCTTGAATTCAAATAAATAGGATAATATTAACTTTTTCTCAAAGGAGGTGATTATTGGGTTGATGTTATCCATTTTAAGATTGTAATATGCACCTGAAAGGAAGAAATGCGTAGGGTAAACTGAACTTCTCATGACTTACCCACAGTGAAATTACTTTCAGAGGCTTGCCAATATTTCCCACTTCTCTATTGGAGGATATTTCTCTGTTGGAGGACATTCTTCCTTCAACTTATTTTCTTGCTTTTATGAGTTAAATTCATAACTTTAACATTTAATTACTTTATACGATTTGGTCATTAGCCTCTATTGGATCTTTCAGCAGATATCTGCTGTAAAAATGTTTTGGCATGAATTGAATCCCTGTCTGCTGGGTCTGGATATAAACTTTCAACTATATTATTTTTTTATTTTTTTTTTTAATCTAGGTTACTGAAACACTACCTCTGCTTGCAGTCACTAAACTTGAACAGTCACATAAATAAGCAAACAGTGACTAAATCACAGTATATTCTTCCTAAGAGTGCAACTAGATTTAGACAGACTACAAAAGTGGGCAGATGAGAACAGGATGGGGTTCAATGTAGACAAATGCAGGGTGCTGCACCTTGGGAGAAGGAATCCACAGCATACATACAGGCTGGGGAGTTCCCTTCTTGAAAGCGCAGAGGTGGAAAGGGATCTCTTGAGTCATTATTGACTCCAAGATGAACATGAGCCGCCAATGCCAGACCACAGCCAGCAAGACCAGCCATACCTTAGCATGCATCCAAAGGTGCATCTCAAGCCAGTCCAGAGAGGTGATACTCCCCCTCTATGTGACTTTGGTCAGGCCGCAGTTGGAGTACTGCGTCCAGTACTAGGCACTGCACTTCAAAAGGGATGTGGCCAGCCTGGAGAGGGTTCAGAGGAGGGCCGCCCGCTTGGTGAGAGGGCAGCAGGCCCTACGAGGAGAGACTGAAGGACCTGAACCTGTTCAGCCTCAGCAATAGGAGGCTGAGGGGGGACCTGGTGGCTGCCTACAAGCTCATCAAGGGGGATCAACAGCAAATAGACAGAGCTCTCTTCTCCCCAGCACCACCTGGGGTGACGAGGAACAATGGTCATAAGCTGATGGAGAATACGTTTAGGTTGAAGATCAGAAGGCAATATTTTACAGTTAGGGTGGCCAAAATCTGGAACCAACTTCCCAGGGAAGTGGTCCTCACCCCTACCTTGGGCATATTCAAGAGGAGGTTGGATGATCACCTGTCTGGGGTCTTGTGAACCCAGCATTCATTCCTACCTGTGGCAGGGGTCAGGCTAGATGATCTGTTCAGGTCCCTCCTGACCCTAGCTACTATGAAACTAAGTATTTTTAATCTGCACAAAGAAACCCTGGTGTTATAATGATAGTAATCATTAAAAAAAACTTGAGTCTCAAATCTTATAATAAGGGACTGCTTTAACAGTGAGTCCTTGTCTAAGGACAAATTATAATACCTTCACATCATTTCATATTGCTATGCAGTATCTAGAAGTGCTAATATTAGGGTAAGATGTGTGCTGATAATGAATTATTGCTACTCTTTGTGGATTTACACTACCCTGAAATTTTCTCCTTTATTCTTAGTCTGTATAGGTTTACCACGTGGCCCTATGCCATGCTCTTAGTCCTACTGTCTCGCATGGCTTCACCCCAAGACAAGTAAAGTCTTCCATGGGGAGATCAGATCCTGAGCTAAAGCAGTTCTTGTATATCAGCAGTGTTTAGCCAGTTGATGTGACTGAATTTTGAACCCACACATTTGAAATCTGTAACCAGAAATAACTAGAAATTTGAATGCACAAGGGGAAAAAAAGGGGGGGGAGGGGTTCTGCTTTTTTTGGTGAAAAATGCAACTTCCCCCCAAATTTCAGCATCTTCAGGGGGTTACTTACTTATCAAAGTGAAGCTTTATGTACTACTGTAAGAATAATAAATGTTATATATTACTTAGCACGTAGAGAGTACTGCTGTTAGTTAGTTATTTCATAAATATACTTTTAATGCTTCATTTTTTTGAATAATTGTGAATATGAATAGTACTAGAGATGGAGCCTTATGCTAATGTGCTTACTTTTTTTTTTTTTTTTTTTTTTTTTTTTTTGCCTGTTGACAGATCTCTAAAATCAGAAGAAAATTTACATTACTGAAAACAGAAAGCAACAATATTGTTGACTTATAAGGAAAAAGGGTTATATCTATAGATCTCAGAAATACTATGTGACTAGAGACCTGATGATGACATAAGGCAGATACAGGAAAAAATCATGTTTCCAAAAAAAAAAAAAAAAGCACCTTAGAAAATGAATATCCTTATACATAGGGAACAGTTTCTGAGAGATGTCTGATTTAAGATAGTGAATAGATGTGAAAAAGAAATGAGAATGAGGAAAAGTCAGAATCTAGAATGCCTGGACGCTTTTGGAAGGAGGAATGAATGATTTTGGGAGGGGTGAAACAAGAGTTTAGTATTTGGTTCAGGCTTTTCAGTTAAACGTTCAAATATTCAGAGCCTATATAATGCAAATTGGAAATCCTTGGTGATTATTCTAGCCTGCAATGTGGCCTGGTCTCAGTTCTCTTTGTCTATATTGCTCTCCACCCCACAGCTGTCTATAAGAACCCCATTTAATTTTCTTCAACAGCTGTTTCTGAACTTCATTCTGTGGAGGGCTGGCTGGTCCTAAGGTCCTGGCTTCATTCCTTGTTTCCAGATGTGTCTGTGGGCCTCCAGATTTCTCATTACAAAGAAGGGCCAAGAAACCATGTAAAAATTCCATACTTGCTACATTTAAGGACAGTTTAAATTATACTAAACACTTTCCTTTTTTAAGAAAGTAAAACAGACTTTTTCACGGCAAGAATTGCCACAAGGATGTTACACATTTGTGAATGGGAAGGGAGGTGATCCATACAATCATGAATGAAAGAAAGGGGAATAAAAGCTTTGCAACCAGTACCTTCAATGTAAATTGGCATCCACAAGCTGGAACCCATTCTGTGTTGCTTCACTAATATTTTACTGTTACGTAGCAACATAATTTATACGGAGTCTATTCCTGAACAGGCTATGAATACAATTTTTAATTACATACTTGCAGTGCAATAAGGTTATAACAATACAGGATCTCTTGATAGAAAAGCTTTAAAAGCTGATTTGGGACAAACCAGACTTTTTGGCACCGATTTCTCTCGTGCTTTTTTATTTATTTATTTATTTTTTAAAGTGTTGCCAAGGAGCTTTGTCAATTTATTTTGCCGCTACATTTTGCCACTATGCACTATATGGGGCAAATTGCCCTGCCTTGGGGAAACTGCCATTTTGTTGCTCCTCCTGGCTCCTGCCATGGTGGAGGAGCTGGGGGACAACTAGAGGAGGGGAGACACTCTGGCCAGATCATCTCCCTGGAGGACCATGTCTTCAAGTCTGCTGGCACATGTGCTGCATTGCTTTTTTTTTTTGGCATTTTTTTTTTTAATACCAGGAGTGTCAAATTTTGGTGCCACACTGCAAATGTGCCATGCTGCAAACAGCTGCATGTGTGCCATGTGTGGTTTGCAGTGCTTCAAACAAGTTTGAGGCACCACAAAGCACATGTACACACTCATCTGGATGCACCCAGACTGCATATATTATAAACGGCAAACTTGAATAATGCATGTTTGTGATTTTTGCTTTTTAAAACTAGCTTTTATATGCTCCCTTCTCTTTAAAATATGACTTGTTTATCAATAAGAATGCTTTGCAAATATTCCAGGATTACAAACCACATTGCAACCAGAAATAAACACTCTTGTTTGAGATGGTTATATTTTAAATTCATTTTACAGATGATTAAATCAAGGGTAAGAGAAGAAACATGGCCTTCTGAAAGTCATAGTGTGAGTAGCAGTTTCAAGAATAGAAACCATGGGGAAAATTATGTTAATTAAATCATGCCATTACACCACATGTAAGGGAAACTAATTTTTGTCCATAGGACTCCTGGCTGTCAGTTCTGTGTACTAATCTCTCAAAAAAAACTGCTTGTGGCTATTTACATATACTAGGAAGGGAATTGTGAAGTATTACTTTGTACAAATATTCTGTTACAAAATTGCAAGTAAATAATAAAGGCATACATTTTTTTTCTTTTCAGTAATATCATTTCATCTGAGCGAATATGATAAAACTGCATATTTTCTCTCTTTTTTTTTTTTTCTAGATCAGTGCAGTCCGATCAGTTGTTCCTAACAAAAGCAATAATGAAATAGTTCTGGTACTGCAGCAGTTTGATAACAGTGTAGACAAAGCAGTTCAAGCGTTTATGGATGGTGAGTATAATCGTATTTCACTGAAACCGAAGAGATGCTGTAATTGACAATTAAGAATAAAATCAGCAATCACATGGACAAATATGATCTGCCAGGAGAAGTCAACATGCCTTTTCCTTTATTTAAAAAAAAAAAAAAAAAAAAAAAAAAAACTTACCTCAGCTATCTGCTGGAGTTCTTTGAAGCTGTTAAGCTCATGGACAAAGGAATCCAGTTGGCCTAACGTATTTGGATTTTCAAAAAGCTTTCAACAAAATTCCTAATCAAAGACGTAAAAAACTCGGTTGTCATGGGATTGGAGGGAAGGTTCTTTCATGGACTGAGAGTTGTTTAAAAGATAGGAAGCAAAAAGGTAGGGCTAAATGGCCAATATGTAGGGTGGAGGAAAATCAGACGTGGGGTCTCACAGGGGTCTTTTTTTTTTTTTCTCAACTTTTTTTTTATCAATGAGCTGGAAAAGGAGGTGCATAGTGAAATCTCCCAAGTTTGCAGATGATACTAAATTGTTCTGGGTGGTCAAACCCCAAACTTACAGAGAAGAGTTGCAGAAAGATCTTATCAAGCTGAGTGAGTGGGTGGAAAAAATGGCAGATGATCTTCCATGTCAATGAAGGCATACAAGGTAATGAGCATGGGGAAAAATATCTTTAGTTATATGCAATGCTGGGTTCTGAAATGGCTGTTACAACTCAGGAAAGAGACCTTGGAATCATTGTAGATAGATCTCTAAAAGCCTCAGATCAATGTGCAGCGGCCACCAAAAAAGCCAATAAAATGTTGGGTATCATTAAGAAAGGAACTGAAAACCAAATGCAAAACATCATCATGCTACTATACAAAACCATGCTTTGTCCACATATGGAACACTGTATGTAGTTCTGGTCTCTGGATCTCGAGGAAGATGTAGTAGAGTCAGAAAAGGTACAGAACAGGGCAATCAAATTGATCAGGGGTATGGAGCAGTTTCCATACCAGCAGTGCCTAAAAAGGCTAGGACTCTTTGGTTTGAAAAGGAGAAGGCTAAAGGAGGGATATGATAGGTCTATAAAATCATGAAAGGTGTAGACAAAGTGAATAGTGAACTGGTTATCAGCAAGTCCCAGATCACTAAAACTGGGGACACCCACTCAAATTAGTAGGAGACGGGTTTAATACTAACAAGAGAAAATACTATTTTATGCAGCTTGTAATTAACTTGTAGAACTCATAAACACAGGAGATTGTAGAGGCAGATACTATAGCCAGGTTCTAAAAAGGACTACACAAATTAATAGCTATTAATGGATCTATTATCCATTAAGTGGAACAGTCAAGATTTGTATTCTCTGGCATCTTTAGACCAATGATAGTGGATGCCACAGAGGGTAACAACAAGGGTTATAGATCATTTTAGTTCAAGGCTCTCCCTCTAAAGCAGTGGTTTATCCTATCTTTGCAGTTTCTTCACAGCATATCTTATGAATGTAAGAGCCTCCTCAGTCTAGTCTGTAAAATCACTACCCTCATTTTCAAATGCCATCTGAGAACTAATTTTTGCTGTGGTACTTAAAGAAATTGCCAGCTAATAGGAGCTAAGATAAATGCCAGTAGAAATTTCTGGTATTTAATTGTGTGCGTTTGTTTAATTACATAGCTTGTTGAACCTTTGGTATACATAACTCATCCAGGTGTTTTATAATAATTCTCTTTTCTTTTTATTATGCTTACGCATTGCATCTTGTCTTAAGTTAGAGGAAGGATGATTCAGTGATTATGACATTAGTCTGTGATTCGGGAGACCCAATTCAGTTCTGTGCTGTGCTCTTCCTGTGATCTTGAGCAAGACGCTTAGACTGGCATAGACAATGAGACATCATATTTAACTCATGTATCACATGCTCCTTTTCTCTCAAAAATCAGCCCTCCAAATATGAGGTCTTAAGCCTGGAAGTTGTTCCTGAGTTTCTTTATCAGAACAGAAGCATGGAGAAATAAAAGTATGGAAACTCTGTGCTAGAATGGCTGCCCCTTCTCTCTGGTTTAGCAAGCAGCAGTGGCAGGGTCCAGTTTTTAATCTTCTCACAGACACTGCTGAATGGCAATAGCTTCTGGCAGAGCCACCAACAGCTGTTAACAATTTAGCAGCAGCTGTGAAAGGGTTAACACTGTAGCTTTGGTGTGAAGCAGCCAGTAAGCTGGCTGAGGGTGAGTGCGCTCCTGCATGCTGTTAGCTCCTGCCTGTGACTTTGGATTTTATTTTTATTTTTTTTTATTTATTTATTTTTTTTTACATTTTTACTTTCTAAAACAAAGTGTGTGCACTATGTGGGGGCATGTGGTATGCAAGGAAATCCAGTATATGTATAGGGTTACCATATTTCCAAGTCCAAAAAAGAGAATACCTGTCATATGGCAGGGGTGGGGGGGAGGTGATCAGAGGCAGCAGGAAACACAAACGTACATGCCTGCAACTACGGAGGTGCGCATAAACCCATGTGGTGCTTCTCGCTGCCTCCAGTCTCCATCCCCCTGCTCCCAGCAGTGGGGGGGAAAAAAGCGAAATCCTGGACATTTTGGTCAGGGCAGGTGGGGTAGGGACTGGGGCTCTGACAGGGCAGGGGAGGCAGAGGGGCTGCATGCCTCTCCAGCAAGGGAAAAGGGGCAGGGAACCTTTGAGGGCAGCGAGGACCTCTGTGGCCTACTGGTAGCATGGGCCGGTGCCTGTGCTCATAGGGGTGGAGTAGCTAAGAGATGCTGCCTGGGGAGAGGGGGAAGGAGTGGCAGAGGGGGCTGTGATCAGGCTGCCTGATGTAGCATGGCAGCCCCATCCCAGCGTGAGGCATGCCAGCTGCTCTGAGCTACTGAGAAGAACACTCCCCAACCTATAGGTGTGCTGGGGGTTCCTCCTTCCCAGGTAGAGTACCTTACATTTACCTCTTATTAAATTGCATCCTATTTCTCACTGCCCATTGATCCAACCTGTCCAAGTCAGTCTGAATCTGCTCCCTGCCCTCCGGTGTACTAACTTTGCCCCATAACTTGGTATCATCAGTGAACTTGGCAAGGGTGCTCTCCACACTCTCGTCCAAATTGCTGATGAAGATATTGAATAATATCGGTCCGAGGACCAAACCCTGTGGGACCCTACTATCCGCCTCCCTCCAGGCCAAGAAGGAACCATCCACCACCACTCTCTGGTGGTGCCACTGCTACTTGTCCCTAGGAAATGCCCATGCCACACGCCCTCTGGTGTGTAGCAAGTTACTTTGGGTGGCATAAAGGAGGTTGGGGTCAGCATTGGGCTGGGCCCAGCAGCCTTACCTGGGACCCTGGGAGTCTCCTGGGGTTGCAACAGCAGTGGTCCTGTGGCTCGGAGTCTGGCCAGTGGCTGGATTGTGGCTGCGGCCAGCCAGGCTCTGGTTTTGGGTGGCGCGCACTGTCCCTGTGTGTGCTGCCCAACTCGTTTGTTTTTGTTTGTTTGTTTGTTCACTCATCTTTCCTGGGATCTCCCAGGGTCAAACCACACCTCTGTCTATCCCATGCTGCTCCATTGCAGTGTGGAAAACATCTAAATGTGTGGTATGTGGTGCTGCAGATGCACCTGCAGTGCCTTGAACATGACTGTGAGGTATATCTGGACACAGCCTTAAAGGTCTTTACAGGTGCAAACATAGAGATCTACAGGGAGTTAGAATCATACACTTATACTCAAAAAGCAGGGCAGGGTGGCACTAATTCTTATCGTAACTCTGAATGAGTTAGTTGAGTGAGGTGCTGCCCTGCCCTGCCTCCTACCTGACATCACGCTAACACAGCTACCTTACGCTACCCTTATACTCATGTATTTAGTTGCCTTTGTGTCACTAGGCACTTAAAGCAGACAAGGATCTTTGGGTAAATCCTATACTCTTTATTAGACCAACTAAAATAGTTGGAAAAATTCTTCTTTAAACTTTTGGGTACAAACACCCTTTGTCAGACTGAGAAAATATCTGCAGTTGGTCTGTGCTCTTCCTGGATGGAATAGAAAAGAAGCCAGGGGCCAGAATGTATACAAGACAGTCAGTCAGTGAAAATCCAGTGCAATTTTTGTTAATCCCTATGTCTCAGAGTAACAAGAGAAAAGGGGTGGAAACCCCATTCCTGGGGCGAGAACCATGCAGCCCCTGGGGAACAACCCCAAAAGCCCTGGGACAAGAAAAGGCTTACTGGCTGCAAGAACAATGGTGGAGAGCTGGCAGCTGGGAGAGAAACCACCCATGCACTTCAGCAGTTGCTTATCTGTGAGGCTGGGGCCAGTGCAGGGCAGTGACATCAGCTGGCAGCACCGGCCAGGAAATTTAAAAGCTGGCTGCCGGGGAGAAGGGAGGGCACCTGCTGGGAGCTTGCTTGGAGCTCCCAGCTGGCACTGGCTCTGACCAGGGACCGAGGACAGAGTCCCAAAGAGGAGTCTGCTTGTCGACAGAGCGGTGCCCAGTATTGGATCCAGAGAGGATGCCAAGGGAATAACCGTTGATGCACACGCAGGCTGCGTGAGTTGGGAGGGGAGAGCATTATCTTCCCGTCCCTTTACAGTTTGTTTGGATTCTGTTGTAAACTTTCATTGCCCATGAGGCCAGAGCACAGGCCCATAGAGTATGTCTGGGGCTAAGGGATTAGAGGTCCTCAGGGACTCTGGGAAGCAGTACAGAAAGCCCACTGACCTGGCTGGGTCAGAAAGGACGCAGCTGTAGAAGAGGAGAGTGACCTTCTGGGTCCATTAAAGACACAGCAGGCCACGTCCAGCCAAAGTGACTCGCATCCAGTAGACGGCCCACAACTAGAAAGCGTGGGCAGGACAAAAATACATTTGTGAGGCCAGATCGGGGTGACATTGCAAAGGCTGGCATCTGAGAGATTCCGACCATCTACCATGCAGTCAAGTCCAGCAAGTTGGCACATGGAAGGGGCATGTGGGAGGTGGAGCCCCAAGGCTATCTGCTGATGGCACCTCCAAGCAAGGCCCAACTAGAGGGGAACCT